TCTTTGAGTAATCATTATCAAGCTGCAATGCATGCTGGGAACTTGTGCAATATTGTTCAGTGTAAAATTGTTTGTTCAGATGACTCAATTTTAGGGTTGCAAAAAGTTGGAAAATTTCCAGTACATTTTGGAAACATTCCAGAAATTTTGGAAACTTTCCAGGATTTTTTTTTTTATATTCCAGGGATTTTTGGAAAGTTTCCAGAAATTTACCGGAAATTTTGCAACCCTACTCAATTTGAGAAGTTGGGAGAACATTTGGATATGTTGTGAACAAACACTTGAGTATCTGAGTAAGCAAGCTAAACAAAACAACTTTCGCTAGCGACATGTTTAGAGTATTTTTGTTCGGTTCGCACAAAAAAATTTAACTGACTTCTACAAAAAATTCCTTGTTCGGGCTACTTTTCTACATTTGTTAGTAGAACTTTTTCAAAAGTTGGATTTTTTTACAATGCCTCTGAACACACGTCTCTGAATGTGTTTGTCTAATTGTAATTATTACTACTATTGTTATTGTTATTATTATTATTATTATTTCTTCACCACATGAGTATGCGTTTTTTTTTGCATTACAATAATGAGAAATGTCAGTATTTTCACTTGTGCTTTATTGTCTTGAAAATGTCTCAAGATTTAACTTCAAAATATAAATTTTATATAATTTTACATTTTATTTTATTGAAAAAAGGCTTATCATTAAATGCATTTATTACATTTATAATAATACATTTATATGTATTAATAAACATGTATATTTAAAAAAAACAATGTTATATTGATAGATATATTTTTTGTTTGATCAAATAGAGAAAAAATCATGCTGTGGAAATGTGCTTTAATGTCCATTTAAAAATGTCTCAAGATTTAACTTCAAAATATGATTTTTATATTAATTTTAAATTTATATTAATTAGTGCTGTCAAACGATTAATCGCGATTAATCGCATTCAAAATAAAAGTTTTTGTTTGCATAATATGTGTGTGAACTGTGTATATTTATGATGTATTTATAAATACAAACACATGCATGCATATATTTAAGAAAAATGTTATGTTTATATATTAAATATATTTATATATAATATAATAATATGAATATATAATTGTATAAACTGAAATATTTTCAAAATATATACTGTATGTGTATGTATTTATATATACATAATAAATATACACAGTACACAAATATATTATGTAAACAAAAACTTTTATTTTGGATGCGATTAATCGCGATTAATCGTTTGACAGCACTAATATTAATTAAAAACGTCTCATAATTAAATGTATTTAGTATATATTAATACATTCATATAAATTTATATTAAAAAACAATTTTATATTAATAGATATATTTTTTTTCCTTGATAAAATGGGGAAAAATTATTCTGTGGAAATGTGCTTTATTGTTAATAAAAAAAATATCTGAAGATTTAACGTAAATATAATTTTTGTTCATTTTAAATTTGTTAATGTAAAAAAATTATATAAATAAATTACATCTATTTTAATGAATTCATATAAATATATATGTATTAATGAACATTTATATTAAAAGGTAATTATCTATTAACACAAATATTTTTTGTCTTTGATCAAATGGGGGAAAAATTTGCTTTATTGTCAATAAAATGTCAATAATGTGTTTTTTATTGCAAACTCCAGCTGTGTGAGTTACGTCCCCGAACCGGAGAACTCGGCTCTGCTGAAATGCGCTCTCAACATCTTCCGCAAGTTTAACCGTTACCCAGAAGCCCTCAGGCTCGCGCTGATGCTTAATGACGTGGAGCTGGTGGAGAACATCTTTACTTCCTGCAAGGACATGTATGACGCACGTGCACAGTCTGTCTCGTGAAAAAGAAATTTCCATTTGCTTAACACAGATAGTAACAGTCCGTGTGTGTGTGTTCAGTGTCATTCAGAAGCAGATGTCGTTCATGTTGGGTCGACACGGCATGTTCCTGGAGCTCAATGAAGATGTGGAGGATTGTGAAGATCTGACGGAGATCATGTCCAACGTGCAGCTCAACAGCAACTTCCTAGCACTGGCTAGAGAGGTGATAAAACACAAGCACGCACGCACACACACA